GTTCTCGGCCCGGCGGCCCAGCACGCTGTACGCGGCCCACGGAGAGAACATCAGCGTGCTGGATGTGCGCTCCCTGCAGGAGCCCCTGCAGCGCTTCCACGTGAACGAGGAGGAGATCAACTGCCTGTCGGTGAACGACGCCGACAGCTTGCTGGCTGCCGCCGATGACTCGGGGGCCATAAAGGTTGTGGACTTGGAAAGCAAGAAAGTCAGCCGGTCCTTGAGACACTCCAACATCTGCTCGTCTGTTGCCTTCCGACCTCAGCGGCCTCAAAGCCTGGTTTCCTGTGGGCTGGACATGCAGGTGATTTGCATACATGTGCACGGGTATTAATGAAGTGAAACAGTAATTAGCCACCTGTGTCGTGAGGCACCCACAGACTTTCACCAAGCACGAAGGTGTTCAGCCTGCAGTCACTGTGAAGCTTCCCTCACTATTCTGAAGTAGTTTTGGGGCTATTCTGAAGTAATTTTTCCATTCAGCAGCTTCTGCCCCTGTTTTTATCTTCGTTGATATTTACAATTCAAAAGTGAATGGGGTGAGGGGAAATCAGAACACAGTGTAAAGCTCACTTGTGCTGTATTGGCTCTTTGCTGCACTGAGCAAAACCAGCAGCTGTCCCTAGGGATCAGTGGTGGCTGCAGATGAGATGCAAAGGATGGTGAGGAGAAGGCACAGTGCTTGAGGCAGGCAGGTAGAGCAGCGTCTTTCCAAGTAGAACGTATCACTGTGAAGAGAAGACAAGTCATTTTTATCATTTATCCTTTGTTCTGTTAGCATCTTGGAAGCATGAAATGTTCTTTGCCTTTTAAACCTTCCTATTCTCATCAAGAGGAAACTTGGTTCTTTGCATTCTGAGAAGAGCCATGCTGGGGGTTAAGCCCAGAACAGATATTTTTCAGTAATTTCTTTCCAGTGGTTGAGGCCTGACCACATTCCTGGTTTAGCCCGATATGAAAACTGTCACTTCTCAAGGGTTTCTGTGGTTCCAGCGGTGTCAGGGTGAAGTTTGTGTGACAGCTTTGAGCAGTTTCACCTTCTGTTCTTGAAATCAAAGTACATCTAACGCCCATTAGAGCAAATACATGCTGATATGTAGTATAAACTGTATTTTTCTGTGTTAAAGCCATGATGATAGAGCCTGTTTGGGAGGAGTAAGCACTCAGTCCCTCAGCTGGCTTAATATTGGTCCCTAAAATGCAGATACACCAGCTTGTGGCTGGAAACTTTTAATCAGAATTGTAAACATTTATGTACAACTCAGTACAAGTGAGCTGATTCTTTTTTGTGACTTTTTAGTGTTAGTTTCATTTATTGTAGCTCAGCAAGTTGGTTTTTGGGTGAAAGTCAGTATCCCAAAACAGGATTTCATTTGTGTGCTTTTGTACAGTGAAAAGAGCATCATTCTGCATTGAGGCTGCATTTTAGGATCTATCATTTCCCAAAGGGGAGCTTAGCTGCAGAACTCTGAAGCCTTGTGCTGCACCATGCCTCTGGACAAGTTATGAGCTCTACAAAACATGTTCTGGGCTTGTCAAACCCTCAGGGAAGCTGTGGATGATGAGAATTGAAATTCAGGTTGCTGGAGTTGTTTCAGGAGTTTTGATGAAGCAGGGGAAATGCCATGAGGACAGAAAATACTTAGTTTGCAGAAAACTCTTCAGCACTTGATGGATTCATCAGATTGTTGCAGTCCTGTCTCTGATGAAAGCAGGAGTATTTTCTGTAAGCATCACCCAGCCCCTCTGAATTACAGTAAATCACAGTTGTTGTGGAAGTAGTTTTACTGCAGCAGCAACAGAGTAACTGAAACAGGAAAGTGACAGGAAATATGTTTCAGATGTTTTAGTGTGATTTGGATCCCAGAAATGCAGAGCCAGGCTCTTTTGTGAACTAAATTTAAAGACTCCTGTACTTATTGGTGATTACTACTGAAGGAGTATTTTTATTAATAACAAATTGAAGCTTAGCTTTATGAAGCAAACAGTACACCAGTGCTGCATTAGACTGACTTGTGCTTTTTTGATCTGTTGGCCTTGAGGATGCTTATTGTCAATTCAGATCCTACAAAAGTCTTGAGAGCATTATTTTTAATTGCTCAGTATAAATCTGTAGTGCTTGAATTGCTGTACAACAGACACAGGATTTTCACTGGGGGCTTGGAGGTGGGCTGGCATTGGAAAAAGAAGTCTTAAAGCACAACCTGCCCCATCTCAGTAGGTAAAGCATGCCCTAGTCCACAGCACAAACCAGATCTACCCACTGGATATAAAAATAAATACAAATATGCCTGTTTAAAAACCACAGCCTCAACTGCTGTTTGGATTTTGCTGTCCCATTTTTCAGACACGTTCGTGGAAGTGACTATTATAGGCCAAGTAGCAGAGACAGAAATGCAGAATGATAATGATCTCTATTCACTGCTAGGGTTTCCCTGTCCCTCCTTCTCAATAATTGATGTGCAGGATGTCATGATTACAACTGCTGAGATGAATGCAAAAGCTTTTAGAGCAGTGTTTGCATCTCTTCCGTGGTCTAAAGGTCTGAGTCACTGACTGCAGAGTGTGGTGGTGGGGCTTTGCAAAGCAGGCCAGAAAGATTTGCTACATTTATTAGGGCAAGTTTAACCTCATGCTTTACACCCCTTGGAGTCACACACAGCCTTTGCTCTGCTAGGACAAGAAGTGTGGTTGCTTATTTTACTATTAAATATCCAATTTGAGTAAAATACACAAACAATTTATTTTTTTTCCAGGTGATGCTGTGGAACCTGCAGAAAGTTCGTCCCTTGTGGAGCACAAACCTGCAGGAGTGTGAGATGGAGGAAGAGAGCCCTCAGTCAGCTGGGCAGTTCTTCAACCCACCTCTTGCACATTCCCTGTCCGTGGCCTCCTGTGGCAACATCTTCAGCTGTGGAGCTCAGGATGGAAAAGTCCGAATATTCCGAGTCACTGGGGCCAGGTTTGAGCATGAGCTGGAGTTCCAGGCTCACAGCCTGGGAGTCTCACAGGTGCTCTTTATGCCTGAGGGCTACTGGTTGTTGTCTGGAGGAAACGATGGGAAAGTCTTGCTCTGGGATCTCAGCAGCAACCTCGGGAAGCAGCAGAAAAGTCCAGCAAAATCTCTGCACAGGAAAAAGGCCCAAGCAGCTGCTTGCAGCAGAAAAGATGGGAAGCTCAACAAAGCAGCCTCCAATGAACACCCTGCAGTTGTGCCAAAGCTCAGCATTGAGCACGGAGAGAAGGTGAACTGGCTCTCATGTGCAGAGATCAAAGGCTCCAGGAGAGTGTTGGTTGCTGACCAGAGCAGCTCTGTATCAGTGTATCCATTGCCAGAACCTTAAGGCACCCAGGTGCTTACAGAATCTGAGGGATAAAACCACTTCTGAGAGCCAGTTACCTGCACTGACAGTGACCTGGACAGGGAACCCCTCTGTCCCTGGGAAGGGAAGGGGTTTGCTGTGCACTCCTGGTGTCCCTGGCCTTGTGCTGGCTCTTTGTGGCTCACACAGCCACTCTCTCTTGCAGGGTTGGCAGCTTGCTGCTTGAATTTCAGTGAAACGGGTCTCTATATTTAGGGGTAACATTAGTTGATGGCTCAGCTGACGTAATTAAGGCTGGAGGAGAAAATTAGTGCTCAGGAGACACCCACAATGCCAAGTGAGGCTGCTGAGCAGCAGCAGGGCTGTCACTGGCTCAGCCCTAGGTGCTTTGGGCTGTTGCAGTGCTCTGTGTGATTTCTCCCATAAAGCTGTGTCCCAGCTGGCTTCAACTGGGCATGGTGGAATCTGGTTTTCATCACACTCTGTCAGCAGCTGCACAGACTAGAGATGCATCAATTAACAAGTAATCAAATGAGTTTCCCTGTGGTTGCCAACTGAATTTTTTCACTGCAGCAAAAGAAGGAGCAGGGGAACTGTTACATCTGTTTGCTGGGTCAGCTGTCAGTTAGTTGTGTATATCAGGGAAAAAGAACTATTACACTTTTTTTAATAAATGCTTTCTCTCTCACTCTTCCCTTGTCCTTAGAATCACTCTAATGGTGCCAGACTCACACAAAATTGTGTCCAAAAGTTTATTTTACCCCCATCACAGGGTGAATACAAAGGGCCAAAGGCACAGCTTCTCCTTAACCAAATACTTCCTGCCTTCCCAAAGGTTTGAAACACAATGAGCAGAACTTGGCTTGCTAGAAGCTTCCCTTCATTTGCAAATTGAAGGTAGGAAGACCTAAGTGGAAATGTTACAGCTCTGGGCATGTTCAGTTCATGCTGGATTTACCATTAAGTGGGCAAATTATTTTATAAAAGGGGATTTTTCCTGGGTTATCCTTATCCTGTCACAGAACTGAATTCCTAGTGCTGGCTGAGGACCTGCTGCACTGGTGGGAGTTTGGATTTGTGCTGCTGTGTTTCACCAGCTGGGCTGTTACCAGACTCCTATTATACTGGAAAAATTTTCAGCTTTTTTTTTTTTTTTTACATACCCAACTCTGGAATATCAAATTACCTGGTTGTGCTTCCTCTCTCCACTTCTTATGGAAGAAATTCCAACTGTCTTGGTTTTGCTCAAAGCAGCTCCTTGCAACCAAACACAACTCATTCTCATCCAAATCAGATTTTACCTTCATACCTTTTTAATTAAAAAAAAAAAAACAAAGGCAATCTGCTTGTACAGCCTTTCCCAGCAGGAGACTTTGGCCCAAGACATGATCTGGTGGGCACAACAGCAAATTGAAGCCAAAACACAGCAATAAAATAAAAAAAGCAGAAAATTGTGGTTACTCCCTTTTGTGTTAGCTGTAAATTAGTTCATCTGTGAAGCCATGGGATGAGTGGGGCAGAGGAAGGGGCTGTGTGGTTCAGTGTGTGCCATGTCCACATGTCCATGGACGTGTGTTGGTGCATCCATGACCTATATTTGGATATACAGGCTATAAAAAGCCTGGAACAAACAACCTCCTGCAGGACTCGGATCCCCTGTCCCTGCTGCCGGCTGCAGGAGAGAGGAGCGAGCCCACTCCAGATTTATTCCTCCTCTGGGTGCTCTCCAGGACGATGGCGAAAGGCAGCATCTCCCTGCGCTCCCTGAACGAGACCCTGACCAGGTCCTGGGGGCTGGGGAGGGACAGGGAGGGCTGGGACATGGGACACCCCACCAGGGTAACCTGGGCTTCTCTGGAAACTTCTTGGGCAGCAGGGTGGGGTGTAAACAGGGAGGGAGGAGCTCATGAACAGGCTCAATCTCTCCTTCACCCACTGGGGAGGAAAGAGGGACAGAGGCTCCATGGTGGTGTTCATTCCCTGGCTGCCATCCTGCCTGTTTGCTGCAGGATTTGGGCACTTGCTCCATCACACATGGGCTGCAGCTGCATGAGGGCACTTGGGCTGTTCAGCCTGGAGGAGGCTGAGGGGAGACATTGAGGTTTACAGCTTCTTCATGAGGGAGGAGGAGGGACAGACAGACAGACACTGATCTCTGTGGGGACCAGTGACAGGACCTGGGGGAATGGCCTTAAGCTGTGTCAGCGGAGGTTTAGGTTGGATATTAGAAAAATGTTCTCCCAGAGCATGGTCAGGCTTTGAAGAGGCTTCCCAGGGAATATCACAGCACCAAAGCTGCCAAAGCTCAAGAAACATTTGGACAATGCTCTCAGGCACAGGGTGGGATTGCTGTGGGGGCCAGCAGTTGGATCCTTATGGATCTCTTCCAACCCAGCACATTCTGTGTTTCTGTGAAATTCAGGCTTGCTGTTCTAATTGGAGATTTGAGGTGAACTTCTGATTTTCAGACCATGCCTCAGAGTCTGGAGAGTTCAAAGATAAGGAGTAAGTGGTTATCATGAGAAAAAAAAAAAAAAAACCCAAGAATGGATCTTTCTTAAAAGTTTAAGGAAAGCAAATCACCATCACTGGGGAATCAGGTGATGCTGATTCACCCTCCATTTCCAAAGCCTGCACTTGGCAGAGGAACGTGACCAACAGGTTCATGGACTTCCTGAAAAACAATCCAGCCTCAGCTGCCCCTGCTGGCACTGCTCCGTGCTGGGCTGTGCAGCAGCAGGCACCAATGGGGGTGGCTCAGAGTTTTACAAAGATATGAGCATGGATCTTCAGGAAAAACAGTCAAAAGAGGGTCTGAAATTCACAGCAGTTAGAGGCAGGCAGGATACTGTCCTCACTCTCTGGATCTTCACATTACTGGGAGGGAGGTGAGGCCCTGGCACAGAAGCTGTAGCTTCCCCTGCATCCCTGGAAGTGTCCAAGGCCAGGTTGGATAGGCCTTGGAGCAACCTGGGATAGGGGAAGGTGTCCCTGCCCATGGCAGGGAGTGGAATGAGGTGGGCTTTAAGGTCCTTCCAACCCCAACCATTCTGGGATTCTGTGACATTTTACATTTAAAGGCAAACTATGCAGTGTTGAGACATTTAAAAGTGAAATCAGGTGTCAGACATACAACTGTGGTTTACCTGCAGTGAAAAGGATCCCTGTCAAGAGTATCCCAGCTGATGGGATGCAGTACTTCTGCTCAGGAAATGAATGATTATGTGTTGACAGACAGACAGCTGCCAGACTGGGAAAGAAACTGTTCCTCTTGCTGAGATATTGCTCATACTGTTGGTTCACCCACAGCCTGGGTGACTCTGATTCACACAATGGTGAGCACAAAAGTAACAATTGGAGACCTGACCAGAGGGAGAAACAGTGAAACAGCTCCTGAAAGAAAAAAATTGAAAATTAATTCTGTGGGAAACTGCTTGGAGAAGTGTGTGTCTAACATATCATGGAGTGAGGGAATGGGGAGAGCTTGGAGAAGTGTGGGATGATGCACTGGCCTGGAAAATCAAACCCACAGAGTGACAGCTCCAAAATGTCATTTTCTGTAAATGCCTGAATAGCAGAAATTATGTTTCACATAGAACCACACTTGCAGAGAATTGGGAATGCTGGAGCTTCTACTGCATGGCTTCCAATTATGTTCTGTGCGCTAATGACAGGAATTTGAAAAGCTTTCTGGTAAAGAATGGGGATGTGGTTTGTGTGTACACTAGTCAGAGGTAGAGGTCACTGACTTAGTGGTAACTTCACTTACACTAAAGGGAAAAGTGTTCAGAGGTCATGATGGAAATGAAAACAGGAGGTTTAATCCATTCTTCCTCTTTTCATTCCAAACTTAGATCAGGAGGCAGCAGCACTCAGTCTATCAGAATTCACTTACAGCTGTGGGAATTCAGTGTGGTATAACTGAGCAGACATTTTTAGATTCAAAACTGGCAAATGCTGAAATGTTTGTTGGAGGTGCTTAAAAATACAGAAGATTAATTTACAGACAGGCAATAAAAACAATGTTTGAGAGACAAAACTGGTCAAATAGTAAAACATTGGACTGAAGGCTGCTGAGGAACTGCTGCTGCAGAGAGTAGCATTAGTGATGAGATCTTAGATAACTTCACTCTTACTTGCACAGGAGGAAGTTGGAGAATGGGCTGTGAGGAAGCTTATTTACCATGATAAAAAGCTGCAAACCAGCAATTCACCGGGCAGAACACTCATTATTATCTGACAGCCCAGCTCTGAAAGTCACTCATAGCAAACCCCAACTCACCTCAGTTTCTGCTCTTGCTCTCTCTGTGCTGACAGATTCAATCCAATTATGACACATCAATCCTTCCAGCTCTTCTCAACTCCCTACATTTCTACATGTCACCAGCTTAGTTTTCCAATTAAAGTTCTATTTTTGTCCCAAAATTCTTGCTGAAGCGAGAGGAGTCCTACACCAGAAAGAGGAACTTCACCAGGCTGCAGAGGAAGCCTCTAGCCCCAGGAAACAACAGAAAATCGTTAGACAAAGATCTGCACAATCGGCCAGACAATGAATTAAGGTCGGGGATACTTAGTAAAATATGCCACTGTTGAAGTCTTTATTTTCTCCTCATTCAGGTCAGCTGCAGACAGAATCCAAAGAAAGGTTTGGTTTGGTGAAAGGGGAGGCAGGGAGAGGGAGGAGCTGCTGATAGGAAAAAATGGCATTTTAGTCCATCTCTTATGACAGGCATTAAAATACCATGGGATACATGTCAAAGAATGGAAAAATATTGGAAGGGTTTTCTTTTTGGCTTTTTATCTTTTAATGTCATCATCAGCTGCTGTGTATTTTGTCCTTAAAAAAAGTTAATCCAAAGATACAGGTAATAGAGTGTTTAACACAGGTAGGTAGGTCACAGAAGCAGTGAAGCAAACTAGGAATGAAAGAAGGAAAAATCTGTAGGTAATAATATTTGCTGATAGTGTAATTATTGTTAGCTGATACAGCCTGAAGTTTTGCCAGTAAAATAAAAAGAAAGATCACAAAAAATTCTGTAAGGAGGAGATGATGCTCTGCTAGTAAATCACTATTGACTACATAGTACTGTCAACAGAGATGTTCAGTACTTAGGAAGGAACTTTGAATTATTTACATTAGCTCTCAGATCCTCAGGATTCTCAATAACACACCTCGATGTCAATCAGGTAACAGGAAAATGTGGAGAAAACTATGTTTATAAAACCCACCCACAGTGAAAGAAGCCCAGCACACCCTGTATCTCCAGGAAAGAGAGAAATGGTACAAAAATAAATCCTGGCATTCCCTTGTACCTTGTCTCAATACAGCAAGTTCTTTTAAACCAGGCAGTTTTCTTCAGCAAAAGTGGAGTGGCTTACAGCTCAAAGCCTCATCTTTATAATTTACAGTTTTAAATAGGAGAAACCACAACAGATACCAAATAATGAAAAAGCAGTTAATAAATACAAGCCATGAAGTAGTTTTTATCACAGTCATTCCATGGAAGGACAGTCCTATTAAAAAAACCACTGCGGGTGGCTTGTTTATTATTTGTATAATTTTTAACCAGAATTTAACCATATTTTAACCAAATTTTAACCAGAATTTAACCATAATTTTTAATGGTAAGTTCTGCTCAATGTTAAATGAAAATGGTTCAAAAGACATTACAAATAAAAGCATAAATCACCTCACAATGTGCTACAGAAAAACCTATGACACTGCTAATGCATATGGTTGAGAGCCACAGATATATCTACATACTAATTTTGCAGCTGTTTTTGGAGATGTCAGGATCTTTGCACCAGGAAATAGCCAAAAAGAAGTGACAACCAACTTTGACTTTTAGTGTTGTTTGCTCTCACAAACCATGGGAGGACCCCCAGAACGGGGTCTGAAGCTGCTCACAATGCAATGCCACGGCAGAAAGCCCCAAATCCTTCTGAAATTCCCTTACTGTTGTTTTCCACCGCCCAGAGTAGAAAGCAGGCTGCTGTCCCTGGAGGCTCGGTTCGCTCAGCTGGACTCCAGCCTGCAGAGCCTGGAGCTCGAGTTTGACCGGCAGGAGGAGATGCTGGAGGAGGACCTGAGGCGGGAAGTGCCCTGGGCACCTGCGGCCAGGTGAGCTCGGCCAGGGAACACACCGGGAAAAACGCCAATCACTTGGTTTTAACATTTTAATAGTAATAAAATGGTTATAAAAATAGTAATATAATTAGAGTAATAAAAATTTGGACTATTTGGATTAGGACAATATGAGACAATAGAAACAGAGTTACAGACAGTCCAGGTACCTTTTCTAGGCAACATAAGCCCGAAAAAGGACACACATTAACAGAGGATTAACCCTTAAAAACAATAACTCGTTGCATATTGATACATGTGTAAAAAATGCATGTATTTTATTTTTGCCTTTTCACAAATATTAAAATGAATATTATATATGTTGTGTTAGAAAGCAATGCTGTGCTAATTCTCTTAAGTACTGTGTTAAATATAGTTTAAAGTTATAAAAAAATGTTAAAATAGAAACTATGCTATGTAAGGTACTTTTTTAAAGAAAGGACTCGCAGCGAGATAGCAGCCACAGGACACCTGAATCTTTCAGAGAAAAAGAAATTATTGCCCTCTTACGAGAAGAAACGAACTTCTTCCCACCTCGAAGGCACTGTTAAGATTCAGAGGGAGAAGCTGACAATGACCAGACAGAATCCTGTGTTTGAATGGAATTTCTGCATCATGTATGAGGTGTATGAATATGCAACAGGTTATTGTTTTTAAGGATTAATCCTCTGTTAATGTGTGTCCTTTTAAGGGCTTGTGCTGCCCAGAAAAAGGTACCACCCAGACTGTCTGTAATTCTTTGTTTTTATTGTCTCATATTGTCCTAATTCAATTTGTCCAAATTATTATTACTCTAATTGTATTGCTATTTTTATAACCATTTTATTACTATTAAACTTTTAAAATTTTAAAAACAAGTGATTGGCGTTTTTCACACATCTCATACATGATGCATAAATTCCATTCAAACAAAGGATTCTGTCAGGTCAGTGTCAACTTCTTCTGAATCCTGACGGCTCTTCAGGGCTGAGGGAGGCAGGAAGAAGTTAATTTCTTCTGATAAGAGAGCAATAAATTCTCCTTCTCTGAAAGATTCAGGTGTCCAGTGGCTGCTATCTCGCTGCGAGTCCTTTCTTTTAAAAAAAAGTATCTTCCATAGCATAGTTTCTATTTTAACATTATGTTACAGCCTAGAAGTATAGCTAACACACTACTTAAGAGAATTAACACAGCATCACTTTCTAACATAACACATCTAATATTCATTTTAATATTTGCAGAAAGCCAATCATAAAATACGTATTTTTCACAAAACCAAGGACCAAAGCCAGGGAGCAGAGCCCGGCTCCAAGCCCGCCCGGCCTTGGGCACTGCCAGGCCCGGGGTGGCCGCGGTGTCCCGGGCTGGGCACGGCTCCGCGGGCCAGGCTGTGCCAGGCCTGAGCCCCCTCCCAGGGAAGGATTCATCCCTGCCATCCCGCCTAACGCTGCCCTCTGCCTGTGGGAAGCCATTCCCGCCCGACCTATCACAACAGCCGAGCCCGCCTTCCCTCTGAGGGCTGTGTCTCCCAGCAGGCTCGGCGGAGCAGGCGGCAGAGCAGAAGGAGGAAACAGAAGAAGAGGAGGAGAAGAAGGAAGGAGGAAAGGAGAAGGAGGAGAAGCGGGAGGAGGAGGAGGCGGAGCCGGAGCCGTGAGGCGGGCGGCGGGAACAGCTCCTGAGTGAGGGGCGGGGCGCAGCGCAGCCGCCATTGCGGGAGCCGCGGCCTTTGGCGGCCTCCGGAGCGGTGGGTGCCGAGTCCGCGCTGGGACCCTCAGGGGCTGGGGGTGACGGGCCCGCAGGGGGAACAGGGACCCCTTTTCCGTGGGCACCGACCTCCTGCGGGTTGGTTTTTTTTTTGTCAATAAAATTAGCGGAAATCATAAAACTCGCCTTAACGTGTATTTGTCTCCATGGAGAGTTCTCTGTGAGGTATGGCAGCCTTTTTTTTCCAAAGGCCTCCTGTCTTTGAAGCTGCCTGTTTAAGAAGCTTGTATCTTAAATGTCAGTGGGTTTTTTATTTTGCTGTATGTGTCTTTGTTTTCTCTCCTACAGTATTGCTGGGCCAAGTGGAAAAATCGCGTGAGGAGACAGATGACCCCCACAGTTTCAAGTCATACAAGAAGGTGCTGAAGTTTTAATTCTTCATTTATCTTAAGAAAAAAAAGGAATTTTAGCTTTGTAGTCATACCTTAAGCCAGCAAATGAATGAGGAAGAAGCTGCTCTGCTCTGGGGTATTTCACCTTCAGAATAAGCTGTAAGCAAGCTTGTGCCAAAAGCAGCTCTCAAAGGATGTGCATATACTGAAAAAATGAGTGAATGGAAGGTGAAGGTAACTGGAATAACACATCCAGCACCTCTTATCATAGATAGGGAGAAGAGGGGAGTAACAGTATATGTGCATGTACTGAAAAAATGAGTGAATGGAAAGTGAAGGTAAATGGAGTAATATATCCAGCGCCTCTTACCATAGGTAGGGAGAAGAGGGGAGTAACAGAGGTGGCTGGAAGAACTCTCACCTTCTTTTTCCCCCTCTCCTTGCTATTCCCAAAGCATCTGTTTCAGCTCAAAGGAAAGTGCAGTAGGAAAACTTGGTACAGTTTTTCTATGACTTCTGTAAAGCTCTGCTTCTTCCTCAGGAATCTCTCAGGCCCTGAGAAAAGCAACCACTTAAGCAGGCTTCTAAATCCACTAACATTTTCCTGAAGTAGCTGTAAAACATTTTCTATTTTCCTTTATATTTTACTTCCCATAAGGAACCTAAATGTTTCTTTTTACTTTCAGGCCCTGATGTTGTCCTAGTGCTGTTCCTCTACCTCAAGCCAGCATGTCGAAGAAATCCAAAGCCCCGCTGTCCTTGTCCGACTGCCTGTGCCAGATTTGCATGGAGATCTTTGTGGAGCCTGTTACGCTGCCATGCAGCCATACCCTGTGCAACTCCTGCTTCCAGATGACAGTGGAAAAGGCCAGCCTTTCTTGCCCCTTCTGTCGGCGTCGGGTTTCTTCCTGGGCACGCTACAACACCCGCAGGAACACTCTGATCAACTGGGAGCTCTGGGAGAAGATTCAGAAGGATTACCCGGAGGAGTGCGAGCGCAGGATGAACGGACAGGATTTGGATGAGGAAAGTAAGTGAAGTGTCACTTGTCCTGGCATGTCTCTGCTTTGTCACAGGAATTGCTGTGGGTGGCTTCAGAGCTGTGGGTAGAGAGGTGTGTTACTGCTGGCAGAGACAGAGCTCTCCTGCAAAAGGGGCAGGAGAGAGGTGGGCAATGCCTTGATTTGTAGCACAGAAGATAAAAATTACGTTGGTGATTTCAGTGGGTATTTGTTCATGCCTTTCGTGTGGGCTATCAGTGCCTGGCCTTGTTCGTTGCTCATTTGCAACTGTAGCATCTGCAAGCAGAGTGTTTGAGTCTGTGGGTGTGTTTCTTTATCACTGTCAAGTGAGTGAAGTGGTTAAAAGATTGTCAGATGTTAGTTAGTTTGGTTGAAATTCCAGAGGGTTCAGTCAATGCAAGAATCTGTGAGCTGAAAATTGTGGTGTCAGAGAGAAGGAAGTGAGATCTGATTAACTTTTTGAAGGAGGATTTTGGGGTTTATGATGTTGCAAGCGCCCTTGGCGGACGTTTTGATAGGTTGGCCTTAGGGAAATGTGTTCCACAAAGAGAGTGAAATACACAAATTATGGTCAGGGTACCAACAGAGAATGAATGAGAGAATGGTTTGGATTGGGTGAGACCTTTCCACCCTGGCTTTGGACACTTCCAGGGGTGGGGCAGCCACAGTTTCTCTGGGAGACTTGTTCCATTGTATTTGCTTTTTATACAGTGCTTGGGAAACACTGCCTGTTCCTGTCACTCTGTAACACCACACTTCTCTACTGTGTAAACTTTATTCCTTGGTGTTTTTTGCTTTATTCCTTCCTTTTTTCAATCACACCACTTGATTTAAGTCAAATCATTCCCATGACAGGGGAATGATGAATCCTTTGTTGTTGTGGTTAAAATCCTTTGTTGTTGTTGAAACCCTTTGTTGCTGACTGTCATGACTTTGTGTTTGTTGACTTTGGTTTTTTCCTCTCCTTCCTAGTCTGTGTCCCCAAGCCACAGCACCAGCTGAGCAAGCCTGGGGAGCTGAGGCAGGAATATGAAGCAGAGATTAGTAAGGTAAGTCTAAAAATATGTTTAAAAAGCATAAATGCTTTGTATCCAGTTATTTGAATTGTTCCTACAAACAGCTGTAATTTTATTTAATAATAAAGATACTTAAAAGGGCACTGCAGCTGCAAGGACATACTGGTCACTCCTGAATCATGAATTAAATTGGTGGAAGAGATTTATTTGTATTTGACATGAGGTGATCTATATATTTGACATTCTTGATCTATACCTCTTACCTCAGCTCTCAGTCAATGTACATAAAAGTAGCAAATGTAGAAATTTGAAACTGTTTGGACTTTGGTTTTATATTTGTCTTCTTGATTTCCCTCCAAGTAAGAGACTGCGACTAGATAACTTTCAGTAATGACCATAGAGCATTTTCTCTGTTCTTTGTTCACTCTGTTACCTTTGCATATTTGAAAATCATGAAAAGATTTTTAAAAATTCCCAATTTTGGCCTATTTAAGGATTCTTCCTCCAATTCAGACACAGTAGAATTAAGATTTAGACTGGAATGTGTGGGAATGCACCTTTCCCTGAGAGCCCCTTGCTGGTGATTACAGGATCACATGGAGCAGAGGACTGGGGGGAATTTCCAAAGAAAGCTTTATTCTTGAAGTGCTTTGCTCTCCTTGTGGAGTTGCTGGTAACTGATCTCTCAGCATGTCTGCTGTAAGAAAGGCAGATGTAAAATTCCTGGCCTGCTGCTTTGGGTTTTGCATGTTTCAAGAGAGCAGCACTCTTCTAAAAGAGAGATGTGCTGTCTTTGGGATATGTAATGATAAAAGCAGGTTGAGCAAATGCTGTGGGACAGCTGGCATTCAGCCTTAGACAGAATTCTGATCCCACTTTCTCTGTACAACTTGGAGATCTTAGCTTTGTTATTAACACTTTGAAAAGGTGAACAATGGAGTTTAACCTTGCAGGTTAACAGTATAATCTTACAGAAACCAAAAAGTTTAACGCTGTGGTCAAACCCAAGGCTCCACACACAGCACCCATGTGATCCTTACATCTTTGAGGCTCCTGCAATGAAATGCTGTGAATTTTGTGAGCAGTGAGTGGTTCAAGTTTAAGCAGTGTCAGCTGAGAGGTCCTGGTGTAAAGTGTGGCCCTGCAGTGGTAACCTGGTGGATTTTTTCAAACACCTGCTGTAGGTGGAGGCAGAAAGGCGAGCACACGAGCAGGAGGAGAACAAAGCCAGTGAGGAGTACATCCAGAGGCTGCTGGCTGAGGAGGAGGAGGAGCACAGGCTGGCAGAAGAGAGAAGGAAGGAGATGGAGAAGCAGCTGAAGCAAGATGAAGAGCTGGCCTGGCAGCTCAGTAACAGCCTGGTGAGTTAGGATTGAGTGCGACAGCAGCAAATATCAATATAGTGCAAGCAACTTGGACTTCTCAGAGCAAATGTTAAAATTTGGAATAGTTCAAATTTATTTAGTTGTAGTTGAAAGCTGTTGTCACCCCCCATTAATTTTTGAAGCCTGTCTAATATGCATTTGAAATCCAGCATCCACCATGTGTGCTGCATGTTTTCATTGTGAAACATTTTAAAACATTGATTTTTTGCTGTATGCTTCCTTTTCCTCATCTTCTTTAAAATCCTTCTTTGGAAGAAATGAGTATGTGTAACCCATACATACAGTGAAAATGTACCTTACATTTTGGGGGTTTTTTTGTTTTATTAATTTGTTTTGCTTAGTTGAATTTTTGCTGCCCAGTGATGAAACCTGTGTTCTTATTTGAGCAAAGCCTCCTGTCCCTCAGTGTTAGATCCAGGAAGGTGTAAAGAGCAGGTAACATTTCTTTTTCTGTAACCATCTGTAACTCACAGTTCTAGAATTCTTTGGACAACAGTAACAGATTCTGCATCAAAACCCAAGTGGTTCCTTGAGGTTTCTGCAGTTTGTGTTGTGTTTTGCTTTACCTAATGCTATTTTTACTTGTCTGGAAGAATGAAGATCCTGAGGGACACGTGCCTGGCAGCCCATCACCAGCACACAGCCTCTCCCTTCAGACATCCCCACTGCTCCTGAGCAAGGCAAAGAACAAACCAAGCAACTCTGGAGACATTCAGAAGTAAGGGATTCAGCCAAGTGTTTCTTTAATTATTGGCCTTTTTCAGTGTCTCTCTGCCCCATTTGCTTCTTTAAAATGCTGTAGGCCAGCTTCTTGAGATAATTGGGGACAAATGTGAAAATTTTGAAGTTTAAAACATTTCCTCATAGGAGGAGAAAGGAAACACTTGCCTTCTTGTTGTTTTTTGTTTGTCAGAATGAGCCTGAAGATCTTGAATCATGCAAAGAACTGACAATTCAAGGACAAAATGTTTATCCTTTTTTTCTTTTTAAGGTATCTGTCTCCAAAGAATTCCGGTATGTTGGGATCAGCATTGTTCTCCAGTACCACAAAAAGAGGAGGGAGCAACTCTATCTCTGGGGTAACAGGAATAATTTTGTTACAAATCTCACAGTTAGCAATTATGGGATATTTTCCCCTTGCCTGTAGGGTTCCAGTCCTCTATTCCCCTTGCACATTGGCACTGGGCAGGTTATACTGCCCTTTTTCAGCTACTTTTGGTATTCATGATTGGCAGTTCTGGAGCCTGCTGGAGGAGGGTGCACCCTGATTTACATCATTCCATGGCTGTCTGATCATTCCTGTAAGGCCTCCAAAGATGATGAGCAGGCTTGCACATTTAGTCTGAATCACTGATAAAAGGAAAATGCTGTAGAGGTTTCAGTCTTTTAGCTGGGATTCTGCATTATTATTAGTTATTTCAAATATTTTCATTATTATTAAACAGTTAGGTATTTTTAAAAAAGAGAAGTATCTGAGTTGCTGTCCCAGAGCACTCAGGCAATGCAGCCATGAGAAGTGTTTGGGCTTTTGATAAATGTACTTCATTAGTGGTGTCTGTTTTCTTCAGGAGACCAACAGCAATGAAGGCAGCAGTTCTGCAGGGCAGGATGAGCAAGAGGAAATGCCAACCCTGTCTCCACAGCTGACCAGTGTAAATAAAGATTCTGGAACTAAGGATTCATTTCTGGAATCGTGCATGAACTATTTCAGTGCCTCAGCTTCAGGTGAAACTGCCACAAAGCAGGAAGAAGCACCAGGACCAAATGGTTTAGAAGATGGAGTTCCAGATGCACTTCATGGAACCACAGAAGGGGAAGGGTCTAGGACAGTTCTTCTTAGATCTAATGGAGATGATGATGGAATTGAGTCCGACAGTGGCAATTTGACACATGAACAAAGGGTAAACCTTGAAGAGGCTGATGAGACTTGTACCTCTGGTCAGTTAGGAATGAATTGTGTGATGTCTGACAGCCAGACCGTGTTGCCTGGTCTGGGGAAGGAGGCTGGACACTCAAATGCAGAGACACCAGAAAGGCCACAGAACTCTAGGGAGACCCCCAAAAGGAAGCTATTGGAAGCCCCAGCTGATGCCATGATTGACTTGGACATGCTTGATAAGAGGAGAAGAACCTTTTCAGAAAGTGCAGAAGACCAAGGAGAGCAGATGGATGATTTTAACTTGCAGACACAAAGAGCCTTTGAGCAGGAGTTCTATGAGAGGCGCAGGCAGGAGGAGCAGGACAGGCTCTTGGCCCTGCAGCTGCAGAAGGAGCTGGACAAGGAGGAGAGGACACTGAACAGGCAGAAGGGATCTCCTGACGAGTATCTGCTTCGTACCAAACCACCTCCTCGCTCTGGGAAAGACTCTGCTGCCAGGAAGGGAAGCTCCAAGGGGACAAAAGACTCAAAGGGATCAAGAAGTCAGGCTGAAACCAATCACCACAAATCTAGGAAAGGTTCCTGCAATGAAAACTGGCAGTCACCTGCCAGGGTCCGGGTGAAATCCCCCAGCATCAAGGAAGGAAAGGTTTTGAATTGTGTGGTTAATACCAGTGACACAAATGATATTTGTTCACTGCCTAAGAACAAGCAAAAGACAATCCTGCAGATGTTTAAAAGCCCTGTTGCAGAGTAGATCAGAGCCATGGACACTTGGTGGAGCGGGAATGGAAACAGTGATGTTCTCCTGTGCTGGCAAAGCTTCCCTATGCAGTTTTGAGTGGTTGCCTTGGAGGGGAACCACTTTGGGCAGCAGTTCTGTGAGTTCTGAGAAGTTTTAGCAACATACACCGCCAGAATGTAACATTTTTTAATTGTTCCTTTCTTGAATTATTGTTTTTTTGCACTTGCAGCACTTCTTGCAGAAATGGGAGCATTTCTTATTTTCTAACTTGCATTTACATGGTGTGGAGTGTGAATACTGGTAGTTGGAAAGCAATAAGTGATGGTCTGATCTGGAAATGAGAGTCCAAAGGCTTTGATGGAAAAAGTGCACATTCCATGGAGGAAACAAATGAAAAACGAGTCTCTATTCCCAGCTGGCTGTCAGCTGCAAGGTTGAAGCTTCCCTCACACAAGCACTGTTCTGTACATTGAAGCACCTTGCTGCAATTGCATTGTTGGCACACGCACTGACAGGAGTGTGAGCAGACAGCCACTCTTTCCTTCTCAATGCTGACCCTCCCTTCAACAAAAAGGAAACAAACAGATCATTCTCCACAGCCAAAGCCAAGAATCTTCCATGGATGCCAAGGCTGTGGGCTCCCATTCACCTCTGCTCACAAAGATCCCTCCTGCAGGTCCCATTTTCCCTGTTAAGAACAAGATACTTTGTTTTCTTGTTGTTAATGTCCTGTTAATGATACATATGAATGTACAATGGTGTTCCTATACTTTATGCAGTTTAATTTTCATACTCAAACTGGTTTGAGTGTGATTAAAACAATATTCCAAAGCCAGTTATGATGGAGAAAGTTAAAAGGGAAAGAAGCAACTGAAGACTAGAGTTGTCAGTAATGACATAACTGAATTAGAAATTCACATAACTGCCTTGCCTGGCTGTAACTGTTCCCCTCCATTTTTAGAGGCACTACTAAATACTGTTCCTGTTGGTTTTAAAACTAAAATAACTCAAAAAATTTTTTAATTTAAACATGGAGGTGCTGAGGCCTGTAGGAAGTTGAGGCTGGGGAAAAGGCAACCAGATCCTACTATGCAGAGGAAGTTTTCTTGCTAATTGTTCCATCTGTTTTATGAAGCCATATTTTGGCTTTTCTTTGCTTCTTTGGAGCTACTTTTGCACTGTCTGTGTTTGAAATGGAGCCAAGTGCCAGCTGCAGTCCTGAAGGGTTTGTGTTAATCATCAAAGTCAGCAGATGTTTGAGTTCTGTCCATTTTTTGAACACCGTTGATGACTTTAATTCTGTTCTAGGACATTCATGCCAGATTTGTTTCTTCAGCAGCATCTTCTGATGGTTTAAGTTTTAAACAAACAAGTTTTATGGAAAGCATGACCAGCACACTGAGCCAAAAATATGATTGTTGGGATTTTTTTTTCCTCAGGGCCTGCACATCTCTTATCATTGGTGGGCTCCTCATAAATAAATAAATATTTGTTCTGTTCAGAGATGTTTTTTGAGAAAGTTACAACAGGTGACCAGTGGCAAATCCTTTGCTTTTTCTCCTGTTGCCTCAGCCATTGTTCTGGAAGCTTTCCTTCAATATGGGTCTGTTTTTCCTTAATCCTTAACACAGTTGGGATTATTTTCTGATTTACCCATGATGTCAAAAAAAAAATTAATTAAAGGGGTTTTTTTTAAGGCAGAGCTACTGACTGTTTCCATGCTGGTGCCTCTCAGCCTGTCCAGTCAGGGTAAGCCTGTAAAAAAACAATCCCCATTTTCAAAGCTGAATGCAAAACAAAACAGGACTAAAAATTTAAAGATTGATTGTTAGATAAAACAAATCTTAACTGCAAAATGTACGAAATCTGTCACCTATAGCAGCAGCCTTATCTGAGGTGAGATGCTGCAAGCCCCCAAATGATCCCATTCCTCACTATATCCATGGCACAAGAATGCTCACCAGGCATAATTTGGCTTCTTCTTTTAGATCTTCATTGTTAGAGGTGGAATTTGGCTGAGTTTGGCTTCTTCTTTTAGATCTTCATTGTTAGAGGTGGAATTTGGCTGAGTGGATTTTGGTTGTACCAACAGCTTGTTTCTGACCCTGTGGTCTGGAACCTTTGAAGGAGGTGAAATCAATTTTGTTTTACTGGTGAAGCAGGAGTGTATTTGAGATTGCTGGGCTGTAACAGTTCACTGCTGCTCACCTGCCTTCAGCCCTGGTGATTAATTTGTCTCGTTTGTGAACAAGTTCAGCTCATCCAACTGCCAGGAAAAACAAACCAAGTGCCAAAACCCCAAATACTTCACAGGCTTGGTTGCCTCTCTGAGCACCAGAGCTGCTGTGGGGATGGGAGGCAATAAGAGAGGGAGCAGATGGACCTGTTTCCATGGCAGTGAGGTAATAAATTATTAGAATTTTAGGGAAATCTCGGCTTTCTGTGGTACTCAGAGTTGACAAGTGTTACTGGCAAGGTATGTCTGGAAACTGGAAGGGAGTAAAACATTCCTTTCCTGACATTCCTTCAGGTGGCCTGGGGATCAGAAACACCTGGTACAGTAGGTGGGGACAAATTCAAGGTTTTCCTATTCTGGCTTTGTGACAGTGATGGCAGGGGTGCCCTGTGGGTGCAATGAGCTGTTCCTTGACTACCTCGGGGGTGCTGCCCCACAGAATCCCAGGATGGGTCAGGCTGGGAGGGACCACAGTGTGTCCATCTGCTCCATCAGGGCCATGCCAGAGCCCATGGCACACATTGTGCCCAGACAGCTCTGGGATATCCCCAGTGAGGAGACTCCACACCCTCTCTGGGCTCTGCTCAGGGCTCAGGCACTGCCCAGGAAAGTTCTTCCTCATGCCCAGGTGGAGCTGCCTGGGCTCAGTCCCTGCCCGTGGCTCAGTCCCTGTCCGGTGCCATTGCTGGGCCTGGAGCAGAGCCCGGCCCTGCTCTGCCCCTCCCTGCAGCCAGGGCCAGCCAGGGCTGAGGGCCCCTCTCAGCTGGGGCTCCTCTCCAGGCTGGGCAGCCCCGGCTCCCTCAGCCTTGCCTGGGCACCCACATGGTCCGGGCCCTTCAGCATCTCCACAGCCTCCCCTAGACCTGCTCCAGCAGCTCCATGTGTCTCATCTCCTGAGGCACCCAGAGCTGGACACGGCACTGCCAGGGCTGCACAGAGGGACAGGATCAGTCCCTGACCTGCTGACAGTTCTCGTCCCAGTGTCCCCAGGCTACCAGGACACTCTGCCGCCTCGGGGACAGCTGGTTGCTTATTGGAACCTCCATGTCCTTCACCACAGCGCTGCTGTCCAGCGGGTCACCCCCGGCCTGTGCCAGTGATCCGGGCTGTTCCTGGGTGTCCCCCTGCTCACAGCACCCGGCCCGCGGCCTGCCCAGCCCCTCACCGCGCCGCGGGCCCCTGTGATGGGGTAAATCCGCCTGGGAGCCCGGGTACGTGTCTTGGGAGTGCCGCTCCGCCTCTCAGGCCCGTGTGCCCCGTTGGAAGCGGCGGGTGGGGAATTCCGGGGGCATTCCCAGGGAAAGCCGCCGAGGCGGCGGGGTGGGGAGGGGGAAGAAAGGAGGGCGTTGCCACGGCAACTCCCGCCTGCCGCGCGATCGGAGGGGCGTGGCTTGTTACCACGGCAACCGAGCCCCCCCCTCCGGCCCCTCGGTCGGCGGCGGGCGGGGGAAGGGGCGCGCGCGCGGGCGGGCCCGGCGCATGCGCAGCGCGCGCCAGCCGGCGGCGCGTGTGTTGTGGTGCGGCGGCGGCAAGATGGCGGCGCCCGGGGGCTCGGCGGGCGCCGCGGCGCTGAGGGCGCTGGTCCAGCAGTTCACCGCCATCACCGGTGAGTTCGGGGCGCGGGGCGCGCCGAGGCCACGGGGCTCACGCGGGAGGGTCCCGCCCGGCCCTCGCCGCCGGCGGGGCGGGGGCGGGAGGCGCGGGCCGAGGCGGAGCAGTTCCGGACGCGCTGCCCCTGCCCTCGGAGCGCCTCCCGCGGGGCGCCGGCGGTGGCGGGGCCCGTCCGCGGGCGCGCCCCGGGGCCGGCTCCGCTCCCTGCGCGGCGGCGATCTCGCCTCCCTTTCAGCTGCGGCTCAGAGGCTCCTCGGTTGTCCCGGTGGCGCGGGTGCGTGTCCTGCTCCCTCCTGCCATTTCCCTCCCTCCCGGCCGCACTCCGCCCCGGCTGCCGCTTCCCGCTCCCGCCGGTGACTCTGACCCGGGAGCGGAGCCCCGAGCCCGCCTGTGAAAAAGCAGAAATGTCCCACAGCGCGGGCGGCTCGAGTTGGGAACGGGGAGAGCTGGTTGCTTTTCCGTGAAGTTCGCGTCAGGTGACAGCTCCTGCTTCACGCTGTGTGCTCCGGGCTCTTGACCCACTTTGTGTTTAATCTGCTTCGCCGTAGTTACCCCTGGCTGGTGGCTGTGCGTGTCAGATGCTGCGGGAGGGGTTAATAAGATGTGTCAACTAAACAGCCAAAGGGAAATGAAACTGCTCTAATTCCGTTGTCCACACCAGCTCCGTTTCAGATTGTGTCCCTGTACTTGGACACACTCAAATCCTCGACAGGATGCTAGCAGGGAAATTACTGATCTCTCAGCTATTCCTAAAGAGTCTTTATAGAGTAAACCTTTTGAAGAAAAAGAACGTCCAGCAATATATCAGTAGTATGTGCCTGTGTGGGAGATATTTGCTAAAAACCTGACCCAGAACAGGCAGAGCTGTGCTGCTTTCCTCCTCCTGACACCTTTTATGTTTAGACACGTTTTATGCTCAACATAAGAGAGCCCCTCTATGCTTTCAAAACCAAAAAAGAAAGAGCCTGCTGGGCATCAGCCATCCACTATTAAGTGCGGTTTTGAAGTTTTGTTTTTGTCTTTAACAGAATTTAAGGTTGCATCCAGGAGTGTGTGGAGCTTGTCTGTGTGTGACAGGTGCTCACACCTCAGTGCTTTGTGTTAGTAGCTTTTTCAACTCAGAGTTGTAAGTGTTTCCAGTCTCTCCTGTCTATGGGGAAAAAGGCTGAGGGAATCATCTCCAGCATCAGGGATGAGGAGAAATAGTCCCTGATGCTTTTCTTTGATCCTGGTGGCAGAATTGTGTTTCTTTAGTGCTCTCATCCAGGAGAGTACTGCTAACAGAATGTAACTCCTGTGTGTCTTGCTGCCTTAAGTTTCAGCTTTCACATTTTCCAGATTCTGTTCTGCATTAGTATATAACTCTGAACTTCATGTAAAGTGTTAGCAAGTTCTCCTCACAGTTCAGTCAGACAAAACAATCCTTTTCCAGCCCTAGAACCAAGGACACCATTGCACCTTCAAGCCCAAAAGTACAAACAGCAGTGAATTGAGGAGAGCAGGCTGAGAGGATGGGACTGCATAACCTGAGGCTGTAATTGGACAATTAACCCCAACATGGAAATGGACCAAAACTATAAAAGTGTGCAAACTTGTGACCCTGGATCCATCTTGGGTGTACCCACAGCCAGGCTCTTGACCTGCCCAAGGTGTATCCTCTGAGAGCCTTTTAATAAATCCCTACTTTATTCCTTTAACTCTGCCCAGCCTCTTTTCTAGGCAGCCTCTCAAGGCATCAGATTTCCCCAAGGAAATGATGGGGCATCTGTGAAATTTTCTTTGAAACTTAACAAATATTTAGAAATTTCTGTTTCTGAAATGACTGAAAGCTTAATATGCTGGCACTTCCCTCAGGAATGATGAGGAGGAAGGAATCAGTGAAGACACTTGCTGTGTCAGTGTCTCTTGAAATAATAACAGAGAATTGAATTATCATTTTTCTTCCAGTTCTGGCAAATGAGTCTTTGCAGGGAGGTGTAGGGTGGGGTCTGTGTGTTCCAGGCTCACAGGTGTGGTTTCATTGCTACAGTTAGCACTGAAAAGTGCTGAAAATGCCAAAAAATCGTTTGAGTGAAGAACCTGAACTTCTCATTGGTTTTTTGGGGTATCACTAGTTTTTATTTTGTGCTTTTTTCAGCTCAGTTAAGGTCTTAAAAACACAGCTGCCTGTCATCCCAGTGTGCTTGTTGTGGCAGGTTGGGTGTTTTGGGAAACCTGTTCCCTCAGTCAGTTTGGCTTTCTGCGTGGTTTGATGTGCAGGTTATTTAGAACTGATTGAGCTCCACAGTTTCAGAGTGTGTTCTGTGCTCAAACCAGAGCTTCTTGAGTCTTTCCCAGAAAATCTGAGAAATATCTGAATGTGTTTTGCCCAGACTGATGTTGTTTGTGAGCCTGCTTTTGGGCAAAGTGTTGTTGTCATTTTGGTAGCTTGCTGTGAACTTAGGAACAATTCCTACAGATCCCAAAGCTGCTCCCAGACTGGTTCAGCTGCATTTTAGCACTCTTCCTCTCTACCAGCCTTTCCTAAGGAAAAGAAGCTCTTTGGCAGTCCACCACCTAGGGAGAAGGTGCTGTAGAGAATTGGGATGCAGGAGAGCTTCTCCTGAGGGAGCTTCTGCTGATGGGATGAGGAGAAGTTGGGACACAGAGGCTCATCCTCTGAGGAAAGATTTACAGGTGGTGTTAGCAACTGTTGCTTCATCCTGAGCATGTTTTAAAACTGGGATTAGTTGCACTTTAGGTGCTCAAAGCCAGTCTGGACAGGGCCTGAAGCAGCCTGGGGTAGTGGCAGGTGTCCCTGCCCATGGCAGGGTGTAGAACAGGATGAGCTTTAAGTTCCCTTCCACCCCAAACCA